ACTCTTGTTTGCAATTCCGACAATTGAAAAAGCGAAACACGGGTCGCAAATGAAAACTATGCCCCCAGCCTGCATAAGTCGCAAATGCGACAAAACTAGCGCATTTGCGATTCCCCCTTCTACCGCAAATCCGACGAAAGGTTTGCATTTGAGAACCTGCCTAAGTCCAGTGTTGACTCGCAAATGTGACTAAGTAATTGCAAAAGCGGAGTTTGCATCTGCAAACAAGTCATCGCAAATGCGAGACCTGCAGTTCAACACCAGAACTGAAGCACACTAGCAGTTACCAAATTACCCAAACTCATCCGAAACTCACCTGAATTTCACCCGAGCCCTTACGGCATCAAACCAAACATGAGCACAAGTGTAATAACACCCTACAAACTTGCTCGCTACCTCAAATCATCAAAATAACATCAAATACGTGAATCGATCATCAAAACTCATGATTTTAAACTTGAAAACTCATTTTCACAATTATTCACATAACGCACTGAAATACGTTACGGTCACCCCGGACCCCAACTAAAACTGCGTACAAGTCCAAAAATATCATACGAACTTACCAAAATTATCAAAATACCGATCCGAGATCGTTTACCAAGAATGTTGAAAGTGCTCAACTCAAGTCCCATTTTAAGCCTAAAATCACTTTTTCTTCAAATTTTTACGTAAAAACTTACCGTAAAATGACACGGACCATGCACGCAAATCAAGAATTATAAAACGGAGCTAATAGAGGTATAGAAATACGGAAATAAAGGCTAGAACTCAAAATGATCTATCGGGTCGTCACATTCTCCACCTCTAAAAGAAATGTCCGTCCTCGAATAGACTTAGAAAAGTACTTGGACGGGCAAAAAGGTGGGGCTAACTACTACGCATGTCGAACTCGGACTCCCACGTAGCCTCCTCAATTGGATGACCCCTCCATTGCACTTTCACGTAAGGAAAACTCTTGTCTCTCATTTTACGAACCTGCCAGTCTAGAATAGCCACCGGCTCTTCCTCATAGGCCAGATTATCATCAAGTTGCACCATGATGAAGTCCAAAACATGAGAGTTGTCCTCATGGTACTTCCGAAACATGGAAACATAAAATACCGGATGTACCCCTCCTAGGCTAGGAGGCAATGCAAGCCTGTAAGAAACCTCCCTAACTCTCTCCAAGATCTTAAACAGACCAATAAACCTTGGGCTCAGCTTGCCTTTCTTACCAGACCGAATCACACCCTTCATAGGCGACACTTAGAGAAGAACCTTCTCGCACACCATGCAAGCTACATCTCGAACCTTCCGGTCTGCATAACGTTTCTGCCTAGACTAAGCTGTACGAAGTCGTTCTTGAATCACCTCAATCTTTTCCGTAGCATCGCAAACCAAATCAGTGCCCAAAAATCTAGCCTCGCCGGCTCAAACCAACCAATTGGCGAATGCCATAGCCTCCAATATATAGCCTCGTACGGAGCCATCTAGATGCTAGAGTGATAGTTGTTGTTGTAGGCGAACTCTGCTAAAGGTAAAACTGGTCATAGGAACTTCTGAAATCCATAACACAGACGCGAAACATGTCCTCCAAGATCTGAATAATTCGCTCGGACTGCCCGTCTGTCTGAGGATGAAACGTTGTACTCAGCTCGACCGTGTCCCCAACTCACGCTGCACGTCTCTCAAAAAATGCAATGTGAACTACGTGCCTTGATCAAAAATGTAGAAATGGGCATGCCATGTAGGCGGATAATCTCCGGGATATAAATCCGATCCAATCGCTTTGAAGAATTCATCACTAGAATGAAGTGTGCAGTCTTAGTCAATCGATCCACAATAACCTAGACTGGGTCATACTTCCGTGGTAATCCTAGCACAAAATCCATAGTGATGCGCTCCCACTTCCACTTCGGTATCTCCAATCTCTGAGTCAATCCGCACATTTTTTATGATTAAACTTCACCTTTTGACAATTCAGACACCAAGATACATGAGCAACGATGCCTTTCTTCATCCTTCGCCACCAATAGTGTTGTTTCAAGTCACGGTACATCTTTGTGACACTTGGGTGAATGGAATAGCACGAATTCTGAGCCTCCTCAAGGATCAACTCTCTCAACCCATCAACATTTGGAACACAAATCCGGCCCTGAAGCCCCATAACCCCATCATCACCAATCACAATCTCCTTAGTACCACCCCGTTGCATTGTATCCTTCAACACCAACAAGTGAGGATCATCAAACTGGCGAGACTTGATACACTCCAACAATGATGACTGTACCACAACACAAGCAAGAACCCGACCAGGATCCAAAACATCCAACTCACAAATCGATTGGCCAAGGCCTGAACATCCATAGCTAGTGGCCTCTTTGCTACCGGTAAATATGCCAAACTACCCATGCTCTCTGTCTTCCTGCTCAAAGCATCGGCCACTACACCGGCCTTCCCCGGATGATATAATATAGTGATAACATAGTCTTTCTACAACTCTAACCCTCTCTATTGCCGCAAATTAAGGTCTTTCTGCTTGAACAGATGCTGGAGACTCTGATGGTCAGTATAGACTTCACATGGAATGTCGTATAGATAGTTCCTCCAAAACTTCAACGCGCGACCAATGGCTGCCAACTCTAAGTCATGCACAAGGTATAAGATCCAGAACATGTAGGCAACACCAACACTGGGGTTGTAGTCAATGCATTCTTGAGCTTCTGAAAGCTCAACTCACACTCGTCGGACCATCTGAAAAGAGCACCCTTCTGGTTCAACTTGGTCAATGGGCTGAGATAGATGAAACCCCTCTACAAACCGGCGATAGTAACCCGCCAAACCCAAGAAGCTCTGAATCTCTGTAGCTGAAGTAGGTCTCGGCCAGTTCTAAACTTCTTCAATCTTCTTAAGATCCACCTTAATGCCCTTGGAAGATACAATATGGCCCTAAAATGCAACTGAGTCTAACCAGAATTCACACTTTGAAACTTGGCATATAACTGACAATCCCTTAGAGTCTGAAGTACGATCCGCAGATATTGCTCATGCTCCTCTTGAGTGCGAGAGTAAACCAAAATAACTTTAATGAAGACAATCACAAAAGAATCCAGATAGGGCTTGAACACCCGGTTCATAAAATCCATAAAGGCTATTGGGGCATTAGTCGAGCCAAATGACATCACTAGAAACTCATAGTGACCATATCGAATCCGAAAAGTTATCTTAGGGACATCTGACGCCCTAATTTTCAACTGATGGTAGCCAGATCTCAAGTCAATCTTGGGCACCCTGAAGCTGATCAAATAAGTCATCAATCCTCGGAAACGGATACTTGTTCTTGATAGGACTTTGTTCAACTGCCGATAGTCTATACACATCCTCATCGTCCTATCCTTCTTCTTCACAAACAACACCGGTGCACTCTAAGGCGAGACACCTGGTCTAATGAATCCCTTTACAAGTAAATCCTACAACTGCACCTTCAATTCTTTCAACTCAACTGGGGTCATACGATATGGTGCGGTAGAAATAGGTTGAGTGCCTGGAATCAAATCAATGCAGAAGGCGATATCTCTGTAGGGTGGTATCCCCGGCAAATCTATAGGAAACACTTCTAGTAACTCGCGCACAACTGGTATTGAATTTATGGAAGGAACCTTCGCACTAGGATCACGGATATAGGCCGCCAGATACCCCTTCTTGACCACCCCGGACCCCAACCAAATGTGCGTACAAGTCCAATAACATCATACGAACCTACCGGAATCGTCGAACATCAATCCGAGGTCGTTCACCAAAATTGTTGACCGTGGTCAACTCAAGTCTCATTTTAGGCCAAAAATCATATTTTCTTCAAAATTTTACATAAAAACTTTCTGCAAAATGACACAAATCATGCACGCAAACCAAGAAACATCAAATAAAGTTATAAGAGGTCTCAGAGCGCAAAAATTAATGCTAGTATACAAATGACCTATCGGGTCATCACAGTTTATCTGAAAATTCAATAAATATATACAAATAATTAATTTGAATAATTTACTGAACTAATAAATAATTATTTATTAACTATTTATACATAAATAATAATTAACTTTGTAAACTTATTTAAAGCGTGCACTCTCACCCCTTTATTCTACCACGTCAGCCTAGTTATCCATCAAGCATTTTAGTTATTTTAGTGAAAATTTGTGATGTAGTTAATTTTATATATAGAGAGAGAAGAAAGCAGGAATAAAATGAAGTATGGAAAAATGTCTGCTTGACTAAGTCATAGCCAACTCCTATTTATAAAAATTATTTAGTTGTCCTCCAATGAGACTAGTTTTAGCTGAATGTTTATGTAATTAAAGTTTTTTAATAAACAGACTCCTCATCTTTTCCTTACGTGCCAAATGATATATTTGCCCCTTTAGCTCCTTCTTCACCGTCTCTTCTTCTTGGCTAAGAACACCATAATTCATTAATTTTGGAGCTGAAAATTTTAAGTTAATTCATTAGTTTAAAATGCTAATTTAGTGATTTGCTTACAAAATCTAAAAACTCCATTGTTGGTCCTTTGAAAGTGTTTAAGAAGATAAAGTGAGTCTTCTTGATTTGGAGTTATTTGACAAAATTGGTGACTAGGGATCGTTTGTGCTAGTATTTGAAGGCTTTGTTTCAAATTTGAGATCATCCCGAGCAGATTTGGGGTTGTTGCACATAAAAATTATGCGTATCGGGTAGACTTTGATGAATAATTTAACAAATAGGTCGATTGCAGATAACACAAAATTACGCCGATCTGGTTGAGTTTGGTGAACGAACAATCACAAAATAATGTCAACCGTGTAGAGCATGTGAACAATTAGGTAAAATAAATATAGCATAAACTCAACTGATCCGGTAGAGAAATTCCTAAAGAGCTACGCGGGTCTCGAGATTTTTTTGTAAATACATTCAAAAAGGGTGACAATATTTAAAGACCAGCCCCTTGTGCCATTCCTGTCAATCACCCCTGCTATTTGCACATTTCTGAAAAGATAATTCTGGTACATCCTTTCATAGTAAGAAACAATATGGGGAGACTGAACAATTAGTCATAGTAAAAGCCACTTTCTTTTACAACCCCCATTACTCTATTTTGCAAAAACCATGTTCATTACACATAAAGGCATAAAAGACAAAAATAGAAAGTTACATAAAGATAGAGCACAGGTATTACATACTGTGAAGTTACAGTTTGTGGTACTCACATGTCAACCAATTACATCTATTATTGCAGAATCAGAACAACTCTCGACCAGTTTCACTGACTCAGTTGAACTCATTGAAGAACTTAGATTGAATTCCAATGAAGTTGGTTGCAGCGATTCAGAAGGCCTAGGAGGCATTTGCAAAGCTTGTAATTCACCTTCAAGCATTTCAACTACTTTAGTCATTGAGGGACGATCAAGTGGATTCATTTGTATGCACCACAAGGCAACTAAAGTCAGCTTCTTTATGATCTTTTTTCATCATGATGCATCTCGTCTAGTACTTTAATTTCCTTTTCCTTGTCGAATTGATCATAGATCCAATATGGGAAATACTGGCTTGACATATCCTCTCTTGCTGCCGAGTTTCTTTTCAAGCCTGCCATCTCAATAAGTAGCATTCCAAAGCTATAAACATCTGCCTTATAAGATATGGGACCAATGCTTCTGTTGATCAACTCCGGAGCTACATATCCAATTGTTCCCCTTGCTGCTGTTAGAGTAACAATGCTGTTATCCGTTGGGTATAATTTGGCAAGACCAAAGTCAGCAATTTTTGGAACGAAATTCTCATCCAAAAGTATGTTGTGCGGCTTGATGTCAAAATGTAGAATTTGTATGTCACAACCTCGATGCAAATATTCAATACCTCGAGCAGCTCCAAGAGCAATTTCAGACTTTCTTTTCCAGCTTAGTAGAGTTCCTCCTTCTCGGGGTGTGATGTACTTGTCAAGTGATCCATTTGGCATAAAGTCATATACGAGGGCACGTCTAGATCTCTCAGCACAATAGCCAATAAGTTGTACTACATTAACATGATGAATCCTCCCGATTGTGGCAACCTCATTGATGAAGTCTTGCCCATCAGCTTTAGGCTTGCTCAAGATCTTCACTGCTACATCAGGACCACTTCGGAGCTTGCCTTTATATACTGAACCATAACCTCGTTGGCCTAGTTTCTCCTTAAAATTCCTAGTCATCTTCCTTATGTTGGAGTAGGGGTATCGAATGGGCATGACATTGTTCTCACTATGCAGGAAACTTTCAATTGCATCAAAAATCGACAAATGCCTTCTTCGTAATTCAATCATTAGAAACACAAATATGCATGGGAATAGTATGATTCTTGCCACAACGCTAAGTCCTGTGCGCATCCATCATAAAGTAAGCAAGAAAAGATTGTGAATGGTTAAATTAAAATGCAACCGCAAAGGTGCTGTATTATGAGGAAGCTATTTCTATACATTTAGTTCGTCATTTCCAAATTAAAATGGTTCCGAAAGTAGCAGTAGTCACCATATTTCGTGAGCACACAATTGTCCCAAGTTGAGAAACTAAAAGCACAATTGTCCCAAGTTCTCTATCTCATTTCCAATTTATACGACATTCTTTCTCTTTCGCTACATTAAAAACTGTTTAACATCATTTCATAATTCTGTACAACTTACACAATTTGCTATTCAAATTTTAAACTTGATATGGTGCTTTATTTATCATACTAACTTTTAAACTATTACTTTTATATTTTTATTATACCATCCATATTATAAAAAATAAATCAACTAAGAATTTTACTCTGCATCCAGTAGTCTTAGTTCAGTTCTTCCTAATAAATCAACGAATTTTAAAGACAACAGAATTGGCTTACCAAATATGGGAAGTATCCATGAGATGATTCCTGCAAGAGCACCAACAATTAATAACACAGTTAATCTAACTTGCAACTATTTACTGTTTATATAACCCTCACATATATAAAACCAGAATTGGCAACAGAATGAGTGCTTACTTGTAAGAACGCGGAGAACATGTCTTTGAGCAACTTGATTGTGGTCATCCAAAGAGAAATTCCAGAACCAAAAAAAAAAGTATGAATGAGCGAGATCTTTCATACTGACACAGAAAAATTGCTAAAAGTGTTATATTCTCGCATGACATTGGGAATGTTCTTACCACACAAGGTTTCGAAGAATCTAAAATTGTAAGTTTTGCAGCTGAGATCCACACAGCGAACATCCCTTGAATTTTCACCTTCGCAGCCATATATATCGCGGCACTTGCTACAGTAAACACGAAACCATGAAAGTTCAAACCCATATGCCAAAGCATTATGTAAATCCAAAATGGAAATATTTGCATTCTCAGTATGCCATGAAGTCATTAACATGAGGTCGAGAGTACACCCTACTCTCAAATCAGATGGCAACAATTTGGCCATGGTTGCATATGTGTGTCCGTTTAATAAGTCAGAAGAAGTATTGGAAGCATAACTCCTGTTGAGACAATTAGTGATTTCTACAATGACTGGAGAATTTATGGCAAATGGACAGCTGAAAATAGTGATTGGTTTTGCCAGCCGAATAAAATTACGGAGCTTAAAAGTCTCAAAAACATCAGCAGGTAGAACGGAAGCCCAATTTGAATGCTGAGTAAGAGAGCAAAGAACTTCTTCTCTTATATCAGAATCAACAACGCGGATTGTGGAGTTATCATAATTAATGGCTTGCACGTAGTAATACCTCGATCCAAAGCCCGATCATACCCATATAATTTTGCGACGATTCTCTTCACAGATAAGTTCATACTTTTCATCGCCACAGTGCTTTGGATCAGTTTTTAAACGAAAGGGGTAACTGATGTTATGAATATGACCACAACTAGAAGGGACACACTGCTGGTTCTGTTCAGCAGGTGGAGCTTCACAGAGCAGCAAGAAGATGAGGATGGTAAGAAATGTAAGAAACTTGGTTCTTCTAGACATTTTGTATGGTTAATTGTGCGTATGTTTTTGTGGGTTTTACTCTTTTTAGTACTGGTGCCAAACACTGAAAGTATGAGTCAATTAGATCAAATATATTTCATCCTCCCTCCCCTCTTGTGATACAGTAAACCACTTCCCTTGTTGTATTATGCTGCTGCAAAGAAAAGTCAAGTTATTGAATAAAAGAGAAGTCCAAGTCTTCACAAGTCAGGAAGTCTTCTCTTAATATTTTAAAGTGTGGAGAGTATAGACAGATCAAACAGACAATCACCTCTGTCCAAGACTTATGCTGAGGAAGGGTACCATATACTAAGTCTTCTCTTAATATTTTAGAACGTAAAGTGTAGAAAGACAAAAGAGACGATCACCTCCGTCCAAAACTTTGCTGAGGAAGGATACCATACAGTAAGTCTTTTCTTAATAATTTAGAGTGTAGAGTGCACACAGATCAAAGAGATAATAACCTCAGTCCAAAGCTTATGCTGAGGAGGATACCACATATATTAGTAAAATCCCCACTAGGGATGGACACCTTCCTTGACCACTACTCCCCGGAAAAAAGAGAAGTCATCAAGTCATGCCAAGAAACCAAAGAAAGAGATATCAATGATGTCTTTTTGGTCTCACCTACCAAGTCATCTATGCTATATATGGATCAAGTAACGTTGTAGTCTAGCATTCAAGTCGTATGTTATAGATGTAAATAATTCTTCTACTTTTTCCAAAAAAAATTATCCAATGTAGACACATTAATGCTAGTCTTTAATCTCCACTGGCAAAATTTCTATCATTGTCCCTAGCACTTTTTTGATAAAGCTATCATTGTCTCTAGCACAACTACAAGTTTCATCTTACAAGGTCTTTCAATCAAGATGGCCTTCTTTTTCCTCTTGCACTTATTTCTCATAGTCATGGTATCCTTTACTGTGTTTGGTAAAGGAGCAAATGATTGCGGAGAGTTTAGGTGCAATAGTGATGGCCCTAGCATTCATTTCCCCTTCAGGCTTCAACATCAGCCCGAACATTGTGGCTATCCTGGCTTTGAGCTATCTTGTACCAACAATAAGACCATACTTAGTACCCTTCCTAATTCACTTATACTATTAGTTGAGGATATTGATTATGTATCTCAGAAGATTAGGCTTTATTGTCCGAGAAGTTGTATTGTGAACCTATTGCACTTTAACTTTTCAGCATCTCCTTTCCTCTTTAATGATGAGCCTCCTCTTTGTAACTTCTCCATTTTTAGTCGTTCCGGTATCTCATTAAATGGTGACTTTGGCTCACATGGTTGCTCTGCTACCTCTGACTCTGGATTAATTGCTATCAGCAATATAAAACCTTTGGAAAATTACCCTGTTCTTTTACGTTGTAAAAAGATTGATGAAATTTCATATGTTCCCTGTGTTCTAGAATACGATCACCCCCTCTGGATCAGCTGGTTAAATCCAAAGTGTGGCTACTGTGAAGGTCTTGGAAAGGATTGTGGTTTCAAGAACTATAGCAACCAACTGGGAACTCAGTGTTTCGACAGACCATCGACTACAAAAGGTATTAACTCATTCAAAGATCTCTTTTGTTTGCAGAATTGATAAAATAATAATATCAAAAGTGAATGTATCATAACTAGAACATTTTATTTACAATCTTTCCAAATCCATCTGCCTCTTGAATATGGTAATGGATTTGGATGTGATATCATTTTTTAATAAGGTAAATAATTATATAAATGATGGGGGGAAACCCCGTATACAAGCAAGTTACCAAATAGTAAAGAACCTATATCTGGATGTGATTAAAATCCTTAATTTGGCCTAAACCAAATTCTAGAACATAACAATGAAATACACATTTGATATAGCAACTAAAACTTGAATAACCGAATCATTACAAGTTTGAAACAGAAAAAATTAAGTGACTGCCCTTACGTAAGTAAAATTAAAATCTCTCTCTTAGTAAAGACAAGTTTGATACTGTAACAAGAATTTTCTGAAATTTGATGATTAAATGCTTTTCTTTTTGCCATAATAAGATTTTTAATGTAATTCTGACAGGCGGATTTAAGGAACCATTGATTGCAGGTTGGTGCTTCTTGCCTTTAGTTCTCAAATTTTGAATTTCTCTTACTCATTTACCTTTTGTATAATGTCTGAGTTGATCTCTTCCAGGTGGAGTATTAGGATTTCTTCTTTTGGGAATTATTATGTTGGCACTCTATGAGTTTTATAGCTCAAGCCAAATTGAAAGAGAGAATCAAGCTAGAGTTGAGAAGTTTCTGGAAGACTACAGAGCTCTCAGGCCCACTAGATATACTTATGCAGATATTAAAAAGATAACAAATATGTTTCACGAACGATTAGGAGAGGGAGCTTACGGGGTTGTTTATAAAGGAACACTTTCTAATGAAATTCATGTTGCTGTAGAAGTTCTCAATGATTCCATAGGAAATGGGGAAGAATTTATTAATGAAGTTGCAGCAATGGGGAAAATCCACCACTTCAATGTGGTTCGCCTCGTTGGCTATTGCGCTGATGGATTCAGAAACGCTCTCGTGTATGAATATTTGCCAAATCAGTCACTTGACAAATTCATTTTTCCAGCAAGTTCCAAAGATCACATTACCCTTAATTGGAAGAAGCTTCACGATATTGCTATGGGTATAGCGAAAGGACTGGAGTATCTTCATCAAGGATGTGACCAACAAATCCTTCATTTCGATATCAAACCCCAAAATATTCTGTTAGATCATAACTTGAACCCAAAGATCTCTGACTTTGGTCTTGCCAAGTTATGCTCTAAAGAGAAAAGTGTTGTAACCATGACTGAAGCTAGAGGAACCATGGGTTATATTGCACCAGAAGTACTATCCAGCAATTTCGGGAAAGCATCTCATAAATCTGATGTCTATGGCTTTGGAATGATGCTACTTGAAATGGTTGGAGGGAGGAAGAATTTTGACGCAAAGGCCAGTAATAGCCAAGTGAACTTTTCTGAGTGGATTCATCAACAGCTGAATGAAGGAGAAGAGTTGAAAATCAGGATAGAGGAAGATGATGATACCATAATTGCAAGGAAATTGGCTATTATAGGACTTTGGTGCATCCAATGGAACGCAACTGATCGACCTTCCATTAAAATTGTTACACAAATGCTAGAAGGAGATGGGAGCAATCTAACTATTCCTCCTCCTTTTACAGCAAGATACACCACCCACGTAGGAGCTGGACTGACTGAATGCCCTTCCAGCGAAGAGTTGACCGTAATATCAGAACTAGAATGAATGGGAGCCACATCTAAAGTTCTGATGTCAGATTCAGTACAAGTGGATGCTTGAATTTCAGTAATTTGATTAGATATCTGTTGAGTCTTTTAGCTGCTACATCTCAACTCTTTTACATGTGCAAGATATTTTATTGTGAGTCACAATTTGTGACTGTGTCTAGTTTGTTTTTCCCTGTAAAGGTAACTATTCAAATAAATGATTCTCAACTTAACACTCCCTCAAAAGTTATTACAGGTACATTACCCTAAGGGATCATCTGATTGGCCACATTAGTAAAATAACTTTTGCATATCCGTCATAAATTAACACAATGGTGTCATTAGGTTGGTCACATTAGCAAAACAATACAAGTATTTAATCCCACATAAACAAATACAATGATTGAATAGCCACGTAAGAAAAAATAATCTCCACATAACTAATGCAACACTAAGAATATACTTAGTTGAAAACTTACCACATTCAGTCATGTCAGACGAAAACACCCACTATTAATTGCAAAAGGAGTACAATATATCAACAATGGCACATAGCATGACACAGATGCACAATGACCTTAAGTTTATATGCAGAAAGCACTGATTTAAAAAAACAAAATATGTGAAGAAAGTATCAGATATAATTCACAGATTTCAAAGAAAAAGAGGAACCTAAATTGGCACGACCAGTGTGTAGCTTAATCAATCATTTACTTTGAGCAACTAAAATGTTTTTCTACACGATAGGAGTCCGATTCTTGAAAGAGTCAATATCCATACGGGGAACAGCCCAATATAGAGTGTTTATATGATGTGACATGCGCTCTTTACACTTCTAACTGTTTAGATGTTCTATGCTGCCAATATTAGCTTAGAGATGTACTGTGACATCAAATGAAACAAAGGAAGGCACTTTTGTACTATAGTCAGGAAGAAACAAGATGGTGATCATCATTTATTTTTCTTTTCCTAGCATTTTCATCATCTCAACATCCATGATATTAAGGACTGGTTTTCTTACTTTCTATTCATATTCAACATTTCAACTGAAAACATTAATCTGTGAATTGGTTTCAGAAATTCGTAATCATACCTGTTTTGACTTTTCTGCAGAAGGGAAATAAAGGCCGAACACACCGTTGATCTCCAGGAAATTCTCAGCTTCGACCTAAACTAGATGAGTTCTTACATCAAGCAGCTACCATTGTGTTTGTTGCGGCTGCTGTAGAGTTTTTTAACGAATAGCAGCGCCCTGCTTTGGAGTACTACTCTTTCTGTTTTGCTATTTTTCTATTAGCACATACATATCCATTACGGGTTATGCTTGACAATTGATGCTAACATTTCAGTACTCCAATCCCCAAATAGTACCTGCAATAAAAGCTTGACAAAATCAAGCATAGTCAAGAAAATGATTCCTGCTTTTCTGTTGTACAATAATGTTGATAAAGTAACTGCACATACAAAGGAGTGCACACGAAAACCGATCGAGACTACTCTATACTCTCATTTGCCTCCTAGTTATGGTAGCAATACTGGTTAGCCATTATTTGCATGAGGATGCTTCTCAAGAAAATCCTTCACCAAGTGCTATACAAAAATATTACCTGGTTACCGGTTTGCCACTGCCTTGAACTAGCTTCTCATGTTGATGACCTTCTTTTTTACTTATCGGAAAGGGGGGTCCAACAATGGCAATCTGACTAATACTAGCTTCTCAAGTTGATGACTTTCTCTGTTTTCGACAGGTGAATATACCCTTCTTGCTCCCAAGCAAGTTTTCTGTCATTGTCTAAACCACACCAGACTAATGAAGGCAAAACATCCGGACTGCGCTACATCTAGTTTCACAGTTTAAAATATGCTATTAACAACACTAGAGATTAAAAACACTAGTGATGATGTACAGAGAATGTGAAAAATCCTTCTAGAAAACTTTGAAGGCAAAGATCTTTTTCCTTAGCAAGGACAAATAAGACTCTGAAGTGTACTACTTTGTAGCAAAAGGATTTGCTATGAGCTTTTCACACATCTGACTGCTTAGATGCTTTATGCTGCCAATATTAGCCTAGAGATGGATCGATCCATCAGCATACTCTGACATCAAAGGAACCAAATGATGGCACTTTTGTACTACAGTCAGGAAGAGACATGGTAGTAATCATCATTTGTTTTTCTTTTCCTTGTTTCATGCCTTTTCACTAGCTCAGCTTCTCAACCTCCATGATGAAGGATTGTTTCTCTTACTTGAAGTAGGGACGGGGCTCCTCATAGAGAGTTCGAAAGCATCAATTCTCATAACGAGGCTCAGGCCGACGGCATTGGGAACGGCCCCAATTCTCAAACCTGACCTACACAAGTGATTTTTAAACTCACATTTCGAAAAGTAAGGATAGGTTTTCCTCATCCTGTAAGGGAACTTTGACACCCAGAGCAAACATCAGACACTAGAGAAAAAGCTTTGTAGACTTTTTCTTCAGCATCTGGCTCAAGCATCCTTAATTACTTAGCTGAAGCATTGGATTTTCTCATAACAGTCCTCCCAGCGCAAACGCGGTATGCATTGTCTTACCTGCCCAAGGTGGTCCATACAACAGAACCTCTTTCATTGGACCAAGCAAATTTACCATGACAAAAGAAGATCCTTTCACAGAGATAAAATGGTAAGATGAAACCAAGTTTTCTCGATCTTACCTTGCCCCGCAATCAAATGAAACTCCACGTCTATGTGTTCTCGGTTCACAAAATCCCCAACAATCATACTGGCATTTTACCAAACAGTTAGTGCTCATTTTGCCTCTTCCCTTCTCCTTCTTCCTCCACTTGAATTGCACTAGCCTCTGCACTCCCTAACAGCAGAACTTGTGCCAAATAAATACTACGTCGTTGCTATTCCATTCTTGTCAATAGCAAGGTTGTTATTATGGAGAAGCTGTGGGAGTGAGTATAGGAGGAGAGGTATAAAGTTCAAAGGGAGGAGTGTTACACGGGGGGGGGGGGGGGGGGGGGGGGGGAAGAGGGTAAAAAGTTTATGAAAATTACGGGAAAAGATCTCCTTTAATGATAAAAATAATAAAATTAAAAGAATAATATTATAGAGAAATGTAGGGAGAAGAGAAAAAGATTACTTGAGTGATGAAAATACAAAGAGTGAATATTAGTCTAACTTTAAATTGGTCCCAAAATAACTAAGCTTAACTTTTCTCGAAAGAAATAAATAGATATTCACAATTTAACGCTAACTAATGTAACACCAAGTATACATTAACTAATCCATGCGGTAAATTGAGAATTTACCGCACCCAATCATGTTAAAAGAAAGCATCCACTAATTTATGTATAAATTATATATTGTTATAAATAGAATTTTATTTAAGGTGAATGTCTATATTTTAGAAAGATTTTAGGGTTTGTTACTTGGTGGCTAAGTCACTTTTCCCCTATAAATAGAGGGGTTCTATTACATTGTAATTCATCCCAAATTACTAAGAATTTTTTCTGCCTACTTATCTCTGCAATACTCTTTTTCTTCTTTCATTGTTTCATAACACATTATCAGCATGAGATTCTAACCAATTGAGTAGAAGTTCCAGGATTGAGCATAATGATTGTCAATTGTTCCATGAACTTTCTTCGTGATTAAATTCTGGATTTAAGGTAAGTATTTTACCTTATTTTTCTCTTTTAAAAATTCTATAATTTGATTTTAAATAGAAGCGAAGACAATAAATTTTGATTATAAATCTAATAGAGTTTGTAAGAAATTATAACCACCTGAAGTGGTAAAATTTTTATGTCTTGCCATGATCAAATTCATGTATGATTGTGGGCACAAGAAGTGAAAACACGTCCCATTGAATTTGCTTCATTCTCATTCCCTTAATAGAATGTGGTAACAATATGTAATAAGTCTGAAAGAAGATAAAATTATTACCGTGAAGGTTATCAATGGGCATGAACGTGGCAATAGACGATATTATAATCGTCATATTGTGGTAATGAGAATAATAAGGATTCTCAAAATAATCTTTCACTCCGTGAAAGTAATGTTTGTCATCAATTTGACATGAGATTTTGTAAAGCACATATAGATGATTATGGTCCATTTATGATGTGAAGATGACAACATGTGATTTATGAATACATATTCATTCCTAATATGAACGTGCTAGGTGGTAGTGAATATGCCACACTCACCTCTAGAAAGAGGTTTGAGATGAAATAAAAAAATGATGTCATTATTATGGTATGAATGGTCATTAGTCACATACTTATTGTACGCCAAAATACTTTGGCAATGTCATTATTAAAGGGCAACAGTAATGCAAGGAACAGATCTTGTATAGAATTCTGACCATGACCATAATGGTATAACTTTCTCTTTAAAAGAGATATTCACCGTATGGATGTTGATGACATGTGGTAGTACAAAATTAATTGAGAGCTCTTGAAGAGCCAATTATTACTATTTTGGAGAAATAAAATTGATTATCAATAAGATATTATGACGTAGTAAGTCTCAAAGAAACTTATTGAGCTTCTAAAGTATTTGCGAAAGCGATTGGTTATATTGAGACTATAAATAAAGGAAATATTTAATATCTTCTATCACTACAACTTGTAGCGGGGCAATATGTATGTGAAAATCTACTCGCTTTATCTCCAATTTGCACTACACAAACAAAAGAATGCCACAATAAAGTAGAAGTTTATTGATATAACATATCATAATAAACTTGAATTTTATTGATAATTGCACACGTCATAGTGTAAACCTAAAGTTTATCAATATTGATAATTTATTTAGTTGCCATAATTGGTTTAGCCATGCTAATTTAAGTATGATGTGCAAAAAATAAAAGAGAATTCACATGGGTAAATATTAAAGTTCTTTGCAAATTTTCTTATGTTGCTTGTTCTCATTAATTAATAGACCAACTAAAATTGGGACCGAATCCCATGAATGCTGGAAATATCAAAAGTAAATATGGGCCCATTCACCTGCTATGTATACCACATAAGATGCATCTATGAGATGGTTACATGTGCGATTATTATTAACCCGCAACATGGTATTTTGCGAGGTAACTTGCTCAATAATTTAATTTCGAGCATAATTTCCAGATTTTCTATTCAAGACAGTCATCTTGATAAGTTGGTTTACATCACAGTTGGTTTAGTAAAATGATTTATTGAGTGCCTCCACTTAATAGCTAAACTATTGCTTATGAGAACGAAGTTAGCTATATCAGTTTGATATACGTTATATACGAAAGTATATTACATTCTCCCCTCACAAGTGGTTTAGGGTCAGGAACCAAATAGTCCCATCGTATTATTATTGATGCGCAGCGTATATTTTAATTAACACCATAACACACAATTGTGGGTTTCCAAACTTGAGGAAGCAAGTTAGTTTTTCTAACATGAGGGAGAGACATGATATAACAGTTGAGAAAAAATTACGTGGAATGAATTATCATTTTATATCTAGATCCTCGAATATGATAATATGAACTTGAAGTTCATAAAAAGATAATTCATATGCAATATATTGCAAAGCATGCCTGACACATTTGCTGACCCAAAGAAAGTAACTATATTCTCACTGAAAATGCTCCTATTAGAATAAGTCCTAGAAGGACAAAGTCTATAGTACGCTTAAAGTGTATAAACAATCGGTTTCAAATAAAATTATGGATATAGAAGATGAGCAAATGATTTAAATGATCATAAAAAGGAGGCAAGTGATCTAGAAGATCACATGACATAACACTTCATAAAATCTCATGCGAGATTCAGGTACCTGAAAATATGAATGAAGATATCTCTATGTTATGTCTTTATGAAAAAAAATAAAAGAGGTTAGAACCAATATAAAATATTCGTCGACGACATCTATGATAGCGCTAATTAGTATAAATGAGAATTTTAAGTCTGTCGAATACAGATACAAAAATATTGGCCAAAAAGAAGAGACACAATTCGAATAGAATTGGTTTCATATAAAAAATATGTAGTTTTGGACCTGCAGTTCAAACACTTGAAAGTATAAATGGTGTGTGCAATGATTACCTTTATCTATCTTATATGTGTAGCATGATATGAAAACTTGATGTAAATCTAAAGTCCATTTATATGGGTTATATGACTTATGAAATCCCTGATGGATTTAAATCGCTTAAAGCATACAAAATTCTTGGTCATGAAGTACTACATCCTAAGTGCAATTTGTGCACACTTCTATCTTGCTATAACTATAAGCATGATAATGTGATAGCGAGAATACCACTATGGAGATATTGAAAAGTCATTCCACGACATTATATGAAGCCATTATATATCTATCAAGAATGATGATTTCAAGGTGCAATATATTCATTCAAGTTAATATGACTGATTTGTTTATCAAATCTCTACCAACGATCTTTTGAAGATGGTGCACAAAATTGGAATGCGAAGGCTCAAAGATGTAAATTGATTGTCTCATCAGGGGGAGTTAATACACGTTGTACTCTTTTTTCCTTACAAGGTTTTATCCCACTGGGTTTCCTTGCAAGGTTTTTAACGAGGCAACCAAAAGGTGTATTGTTAGATATGTGTACTCTTTTTCCTTCACTAAAATTTTCTTCCCACTGGGTTTTATTTTAATTAAGGTTTTAACGAGGCACATTATCTGTTGAATAGACATTCAAGTGGGAGTGTTATAAACATAATTTTATTTAAGGTGAATGTTTATATTTTAGAGAGATTTTAGGGTTTGTTACTTGGTGGCTAAGTCACTTTTCTCCTATAAATAGAGGGGTTCTATTATATTGTAATTCATCCCAAATCAATAAAAATTCTCTCTCCCTACTTTTCTTTGCGATACTCTTCTTCTTCTTTTATTGTTTCATAACATATATTAGTTTTTTTATAACTTATACTACTATCAGCATGAAATAATCAACCCATGTATAACTTATACATGAATAAAACACCAAAAGGACAAAAGTATTTTTTTCCTTAATTAGAAGCCTATGAAAGTAAAGTATCCAAGAATATAATTCTAAACTCATAGCCTTTTAGCTTAAAAAGTAAATCAATATTTTAAATAATATCTTGTGTATTCAATTTTAGTACAATAAACCAAACACACAAGCCCCATGTGTTTAATGGGTCACCCGACAAAGAGAGAGTATGCCTCGGGTATTCGCCACATGCTCGTACTGATTCTGTTAGTATCTCCCGTATCTTGTTCGTTCTGGAAACACGAGAAATAATGTATGTATTATTAATTTATGTATTGCTAATTCTTGCATTACTAATCCATGTATACAAACTAAACGACTCCTAAGAGTTTAATAAAGGAGTACAATGTCTCAACAATGGCACAATGCATGACAGAGACGCAAAATGACCTAATAATTTATGTGCAATTGCTATCATAAGGCAGGTATTTTAATTCTTGATCTGCATACTGGAAAAATTCAGAAACAAAGATAATCAACATCAAAAGAAATGTTGAAGGCGAAAACATAGAAAAGCACCATGTTGGGGCTTGAGCATGAGCACTGATGCTTTGAAAGGCACAACCGAAGAAAACATATAACACAAATGTACTACACTATAATATATGGACAAAGGTATCGCAAAGGTTGCAATTGATTGACGGAATAAATAAAGAAAATATCATGTCAATTAAGTTCAAAACTATTCTAAAATTTTGATTCAGATGCAAAGATGCAATTTGAAGTTCCAACTAATTTTTTAATGTTTTAATTCCATTTCTAACTTCATAGTTCTTAATTACTTACTTCTATTCCTATATTATAAATGGGATAACCATGCAGCTCATGATCAACATGTCTGCCTGGCATAGGGACATTTTTGAAATTTCGTAGTTTATAGGCTTTCAAAATATTGTACTTGCTACCTTTATTACTTGTACACACTTGTAACGAGCCGACCGGTCGTTTTGAGCATTCGCACTTCGTTCGGTA